GGCTAATGACCAGGATGATGCATTTTTCATCAGTGTGATGAAATAGTACATTTTCAGCCAAAAATAAAGTCATTACTCTACAGTCAAAAATAATCTGTATACTTGCATCATATTGCACTCAATTACATTAACTGCTTTATGATGTTTTTTAATCTATACAGAAGATAAGCCAGTTATTTCATCCTTTTTCTCTCACTAAGCTGTCAATGCTAAAACATGCTCACTCTAAAAAGTCAGTTCCTCTTCAGGAACTCGAGCTGCGTCGGAATACGCTTTGGGAACGCCTTCTGTGACCACGCTCTGAATCACGTGTGAAATCAGTCCAATAGCTGGGCGAGACGTCACAGGCGGGTGACGTCATGGCCAGGAAGCTATAAAAGCACGTGCAGCGGAGCCGGCGTCAGCTTTTTGTCATTCAGCAAGCGCTCTGTGTGTGTGTCAGTCTGATATCTGTTTGTGAGTCTTATTTAGTGTTGTCTGTCACGAAATCCCAAGACAAAATCAAACACCTAAGGGTGAGCAGGCAGCGTTCAGGCTGTGTGTTCCTCCCTGCCCGCGTTAAAAAGCTTTACAGGTGGGGATACACACAGTTTGTTTGTTGTCTGCTTGGGAGCGAAGCACAGTTGTTACTGCCTTGCATCGCTCTCAGAGGTCTCTCTTTGAGGAGGGAGCCTTCACTAGCGTTCCTCGCGGTGCCGGCCCCGCTTTCGCCGAGGCGGAGCGGCGGCTGTGCTCGTGGGTTTCACGTATGGATCTGCTTCCTTAACCACCAGATCCGGCGCCCGCTCTCGGGGTCCGCCTGTCTTTCTTTGCACAAGCATCAGTTACACAAGCATATTATGCCTGATATTATAATGAGCAGCATTAATAGGGAGCGGAGCTCGCGCAGTCGGCTCTCAGGGGGCGGATTGTGCTTTTACCGCTGTTAAGCGCTTCGCTCTCACCGGGCACGCTCCGAGGAATGTGTCCGTGCCTGTGATCTTGCGATTGCGGTCCCGCTGCTGCTGAGGCACGGCGGTGA